GTACTGATCATGTAGTACTTGGATGACATTGTGATTTGCTGCCAGAGATTGTAACCAATTTTGACCCAAGCAGTTGTAATTATCTTTTCATCCTCCTTTCTCTTCCGCACAACTTCTGAGATCCAAGTTAAAATGAAGTTTACATGTAAGGATCCCTTTAGGAATCTGACATTAGGTGGATGGTATAAAATGCACAGATTAATAATTTTATTTTTTAAAGTCATAAACCCTATTTCTAAGTAAAACCTGGGCATGTAGCATTGTGTATTTATTCTTTGTTGCTGGATGGAAACACAAAGGCATTACATAGAATCATAGAAGATAGGAGCAGGAGGAGGTCATTCGGCCCTTTGAGCCTGCTCCGCCATTCTTCACGATCATGGCTGATTGTCCAACTCAATAGCCTAATCCTGCTTTCTTCCCATAACCTGTGATCCCATTCGTTCCCCCCAAGTGCTATATCTAGTTGCCTGTTGAATAAATTCAATGTTTTGGCATCAACTCCTTCCTGTGGTAATGAATTCCACGGGCTCACCACTGTTTTGGGTGAAGAAATGACCCCTCATCTCCATCCTAAATCATCTACCCCGAAACCTCATACTGTGACCCCTGGTTCTGGACACACCCACCGTTGGGAACATCCTACCTGCATCTACCCTGTCCAGTCCCGTTAGAATTTTATAAGTCTCTGTGAGATTCCATCCCCTCTTCATTTGTCTAAACTCAGCAAGATCAATCCCAACCTGATCAATCTCTCCTCGTACGTCAGACACTCTATCCCCGGAATCAGTCTGGTGAACCTTCGCTGTACTCCCTTGAGTGCAAGAGCATCCTTCCTCAGTATTCTAGGTGTGGTCTCACCAAGGCCCTGTACAACTGCAACAACTAAAGGAAGGATATGGAGGCTTTGGAGAGGGTGCAAAAGAAGTTTACCAGGATGTTGCCTGGATTGGAAGTGTATTAGCTACATATATTTCCCTGCAAGGACCACCACTCCTTCCTCCTGTGGCTTTGTATCCAAATATGAAACTATGTGCAAAAGAAAGAAACCTTTCTTCATTCTTCCTATGAGCATTTTCACCATCATTTCCTTCCCCTTTCTCCAGCCCATCACTGAAACCTTACGAAATACAAACTGAGATACCTTGCTCCAAAAATAAACTGACTGCCCAAGGCAGAGCATGCTATTTAGCAGCAGTGTTTTTAAATGGGATGTTCAGTACCAAATATCTTAATAGGTTATGTTCATTTCCAGCAGAATTTCTGTATGGAAGGTGCTAATTAGAAGAACAAAGTTATGCTAGAATATATGTCTGGTCAAGCATCCAAAGATAAGAGCTCACTCTTGTCCTTACAGGTGGATATGGAAGCATTCCTAACACTAACTGATGGTGATTTGAAGGAGTTGGGTGTAAAGACGGATGGTTCAAGGCAACAGATCTTGGCTGCAATCTCAGAGTTGAATGCTGGAAAGGTATGGATAGAAATAACTTTAGTATACTGGTGAAAAGAATTCTGGTCACTAAAATTTGATTAGTTTGTTTCTCAAATTTTTTTTTATAGAATCCCTACAGTGTGGAAACAGGCCTTTCGGCCCAACAAGTCCACACCGAGCCATCCTCTTATAACCCACCTAATCTCCACATCCCTGAACACTATGGGCAATTTAGCATGGCCAATCCACCTAGCCTGCACATCTTTGGACTGAGAGTTATTCAAGAAATAGTCCAAACAGTAATGTGCCATTAACACAGTGCAAGGAAATTTAAATTAAACTCATGTAAATGCTTCATTGTAGTCTTCTCTCAAGTGTATTGTCCAAATTAAAATTCTTTACAAGACTCTGATAGCATGATAATTGTTGTTACAACCAGGAGGGGAGGAGTGATAGGCTTCCCTCTTTTTGAACGCCCTCTCAGTCAGTCACAATAAGTAATTTCATTTCTTTTTTAGCACATAACCATCAGGCTTCAATTAAATCCAGTTAACGATATCAAAAATGAAGAGAACCAATTCCAAGGTTTTGAACAAAGAAAAGGTTTCATTTTTTTATCTATTAATCCCAAGGAAAAAATAACACGCCTGACCTAAATGCTCAACGCAGATTATAAGGTTGCAAAGATGAATAGGGATGCACACACAGTTGCATGTTACTATTTTGAAGCCCTTGAGTTGTAAGCATGAAGCTTGAGAACCACCAGATTAACTGTTGTCCTGTTTCTCTAGCAGTGGCAGGGATTTTGGATAACCTTTGATTTCTCGGTGAATGGTGATTTCTCCAAGTGGCTTTTTCACTGGGTGCTGACTTTTGAGATCGAGTGTACCGCAGTTCTTTGTGTTTCCTTGTCTCTGTGCTGCTGTCCTTTTAGAAGTATTTTTAGTTCTAGAAGGACACTGGTATTAGAATCAGATGACAGAATTGAATATTGATAGTCCATTTTGACTTAGTTGTCACGCTGTTATAATCAAACCAAGGGTGAAAAGCTTGGTTTCCATGATTAATGTATTTTCAACTATCATGTGAGTTATAGCCATGACGAAGCTACTACCTATTCAAACAGATTCCTCTTTACCCATTTCATGTGTCCAGAAACTTTTTGTGCATTCTTAAAGCATCCTGTCTTTGATGGGAGATCTTGAATATGACACAAACGTTGAAAAGAAATTCTTTCTCTCCAGACCCTTTGGTTGTGAAATAATGACACTTTGATTGTTAACCTATGATTGGCATTGCAAAGGATCAGATGGTGCATTATCAGTTTTTTGTTCCCTTTTATTCGTTCCACTAAACCTCTGACATTCACAACAATTGGTATTTAAATACTGTTTTTAATGTAGTAAGACCTCTCAAAGATGTTCATTAAAGTGTTATAAAGCAAACATTCCACAGACCCACACAGAATTCATAGATTCTCTACAGTGTGGAAGCAGACTATTTGGCCCATCAAGTCCACACTGGCCCTCCGAAGAGCATCCCACTCGAGATCCTCCTCAGTACCCTTTCCCTGTAATCCTGCATTTCCCACGGTTAATCCATCTAGCCTGGATACTATGGGCAATTTAGCATGGCTAATCCACCTAAATTGCCCAATCTTTGGATTGTGGGAGGAAACCAGAGCACCCAGAGGAAATCCACGCGGAAATGGGGAGAATGTACCAACTCCACACAGACAGTTGCCGGAGGCTGGAATTGAACCCAGGTCCCTGGCGCTGTGAGACAGCACTGCTAACCACTGAGCCACTTGGGCAAAGACTTATTAAATGTGAGACATGAGGAGGACTACAGAGGAAGGAAAAGAGGCTTAGAGCAGGAATTTCAGAACTTAATACCTAGGCAACTGAAGGCACAGCCACAGCCACAGCCACAAGAACTGTAGCAATTAAAATCTGGGATGTTCAAGGCTAGAATTAAAAGATTGCAGACATTTTAGTTTGCCAGTGGTATGAACGAGTTGCAGATAGGGAGAGTTGAGGCAGTGGAAGAATTTGATATTTCTGACTGCACCGCTGTCAAATATCTGTATCAAATTGCAGCTGGATCCAATAGAAAAGTGTAATTCTTTGACTGCTGCGTCTCAATGTTCAGCCTCTGTGCTCCAAAAGTAATACAGTCATATACAGCTGCAAACATTCTACACAATCCTATTTGATTTTGATGTTGTGAAACTTCTTTTTTTGGTGTTTGGCAGTGTCTAACTTCCATTCCACTTTATAGTTTAAAAAGGAAAAATGTGGTCCCTCACTGATCGTGGGCAGGATGGGTTGATACAGAGAAGCTAATATGCAGGTGAAAATGAGCAATCTTAGTGATGGTGGTGATATGTAATTGGAATTTCTATCTCTGGGTAAAATATTGCCAGTCTAGTTTATTTTCAATGAATTGTGAATTGAAAGAGCCAATCCTGGATATCTGATACTGTAGTGATTCTGGAAGAGTAGAGAGAGCTGATGGAAAGGGAAACCTAAATGTTTTCAGATGATGCTACTGAGGGGCAGCATGCACATGGGAAACGAGAGAGTTGAAGATAGATTCTTAGGCACATTAGAGGTAACGGATCAGGAAAAGAAACCATTGTAGGTGGTACTGTGACTGATTACAGAGATGAGAGTTGGTCAGTATGAATGTAATTCCTCCCCTTTGGACATGGAGAAACACTAGGCTGGTGCTGTGGCCAACCATGTCAAGGGCTGTGGACAAGTGAGGAATATCGAGCAGAGTGACATCCTTATCTGATAGTGACCTCATGATGTGATTAAGCGTGGTGGGACATTTGACGTTCTAATACAGCTATGTAGTGGAGCTGTATATTTAAACCGACCATCATAATGAAAGAATTAAAGAGCTTACTTGTATTTGTACTTCAGTGACTACATTCTAATATTCCAGAAGTTAGGTTTTTTTAAAATAACTATTAGTATCACTTTTAATTAAGTGAAGAAAATTAAAACTATTTTCTCTATGCTGTTGGCCTATGTAGAGGGGTACCCTTTATCAGAGTTGCCAGCTGTCTTTTTAAACTTTCTTTCAGGATGTGTTCCCAGCAGCCAAATTGAGAATTGACGTGCACAAGCTGCAACTCTGGGTCTAGTATCTTCTCTAAATTTGTCATTGCTAATGCTAACATCTCTCTGAAATATTGTGAATTTGAATGTGATCCTTTAATTTTAGTTGCCTTTTTGTTTTTAGTGACTGATTGCAGGCTTGTGCTAGTGTTTGTAGGCTGATATAGTACTTCATGGTTGGACCAATGTTTATATAGTGTAAGCTGATTATTTACATGGTAAAGGAAGAAAGTACTCTACTCAATCCATGGAATTTCACCTTGACCTAGATCCAACGGAAATGTATCATAGTAAATGGTAACCTGTATTAATAATCCCTATATTAGTGAATTTCTGACAGTATTGCCAATGGTACCACTTATCCATTTTGTTCTTTAAGCCACCTGCTTGTACAGGCTTTCATTCTTTGCCTTGTAAACAGTGATGTAACAGATATAATACTGCTTTTCTCAGCTAAATGTGGAGTTTTCTTTTAAATACAGGGACGTGAGAGGCAGATTCTACAGGAAACTATTCATAACTTCCATTCATCTTTTGGAAGTAGTGCAAGCAATTCTCGTCAGAATTTTTTGCAATGTAAGTTTTCATTCTGAATAGTGAGCTTTGAGTTAATTACAGGTGATGCCTCAAGTCCACAGAAATTCATAATATTATGGATTCACGAGCTCAAGTTTTCAAAATGCATGTTGTCTAATCTTGGCTAGGGTCCTGATTTGTCATGACCCTTATTATCATCTACCTGAAAATCTTCTGCATTTCTGCTTTAGTTGAACTTTGTCTACCTAAATGAAAAAGTGACATAAACAACATTGTTTGTGGCGTGTTGAAATATTTATAACTTTTTCATTGCTTCAGCAGTCTTGATAGAATATAGTAGGCAGCTGGATGCAGCCAGAACCACCTAAAGTACATAGGTAATCTCGTGTAGCAAAATTGCTTGATTTTCTAAAGTCACAGCTAACCCCTGGCATCTTTTCCTGCTGTAAACTATCTTGTGAAACCATTCTATTCTAGCAAATTTAGAATCTCATTGATTTCTTTGTCTCAGATGTGAGACATTTGATCAACTTTCTCTGCCACTTCCCTGAAATCCCTTTCTGTTCTAGTCTTCAGCAGGCGTCATCCTGTCTCTTATGTCCACTCTGAACTTGTCTTGTCCTAAGAGGTCTGCCTTCTGCTCCCTCAATTTGATCCTATTAAACTGCTGACCACTGAACTTCCCTTCCTGGCTTCCCCGTTAGCTGGTGTTATTTAATGGTTCCCTCTATTCAGACATTGTACCTCTGTCCTTTACATTTGCCTGATCTCCCACTACACTTGACAATACTGCAAGCAGTTTTACTTCTCTTCTAGAATAGCTTCATGACATGGTGATACACTACAGGAAAAACATCCAATAGTAGTTCAGTTAATTCAAAGTAAATCATAAGTTTAAAAAGGTACTAATATCCTCCACTCAAGTCTTAGCAAACACGCTTAACTGTTCCTCTGTGGAATGCAATGTGACATGTTTCTCTTTTAGGGTGCTGTAGATTCCTGGCATTGTCAAACAATTGCAGCATTACAGTAAACAGAGAGCAACTGTTAAATCTCAACTTTATTTTTGTTTGAAAACCTGGTTTTGATTTTAAATTGGTTTTGAACAGGAAACACATTTTACTGGTATATCATCAAATAGAACCAAGTTGTGGATACCTTTCATTTGTAGGGCTTTTCTTAATTTATCTAGTCCACTACCCTAATGGTGGGGCACCAACCCAATGCCCCTACAGCATAGATTGAGAAATTAATTGCTATTTCACTTAATGTAACATGTACAGATATTAATTCAAGGTAAAAATGAAGTACACTAGAAAGAATTGCTATTTAAACATAATTCAATAAGTGAGAGGCATTGCTACAATCGAATATTAGCTCACTATAGGAGAGCTGACTGGAACAGTTGCTGGTTAAGAAATGTGTTCTGCTGCTCCAATGCTGTTTACAATTCTCAAAATTTAGTTGATTTTGATGATCACTACTTATGTAGCCACCCTTGTTATCAACTAATACACTGATAAATACAGAGTGTGGTAGAATATTCTTGTAATACAGCATTTAGTTGGCTGACTGAAAACACCTTCAGTGTGACTCATTTAATAAAACAATTTGCATTAAAACCATACCTTTAGTATAGAATCCTACAATCCTTCAGAGACATAAATAAAAAGCTAGTCACCATTTTTTTGTTTCCAAACCTTAGAGTTGAGATGGGAACATTGTTAAAGATTCAGAACACAAGGAGGAAATGCATTCAATTTTTTGAAAGCGTACTCTACTCCACTGGCCCGGCAGATTTCTCCAAGTATTTACCAGATTCTGACTGTATTCCAGTTTCCACCTCTGTGCTGATTATGTGTTATGATGAATTGGAACCCTGAAGTACTGTGAACATCTTTAACTCTTAAACAGTCTGGAATTAAGAGTGAATAACTGCAGGTGCAAAAAAAAAATTAGGACCATTGTGATGTAGCACCTAAAGGTGTCAATGAAACTTCAAACACATTGGTCCCATAATAAATTGGGAATCTTAGCCAGTATCTGGTCATAATAGCATACAGCTCACTTCACCCTACAAATAACTCCCTGCAAAATGAAATTTGGATAAACATTGAGATTTGTGGCACACACGAAGATACTATAGAGGCAGCATCCTAGAGCTGTACCATTGGATTACTTTTTTTTGTCACAATGACCAATACTACCTGTGCTGATTGGGATGGCAACCTAGATTGCTTCTATGGACTTTTGAATTGTCTAGTCTAATAAGTTTCCAATATTAGTTAATGTTATTGGTGATTTGTATGGAATTTAATGCAGTCAACTAAAATACATTTAATTTCCACAGCTCCTCCTGCGTGGGTTAGACCAGTTGTAACATCCGATAAGAGATGACCTTTAATTGGATGGACTGTTGGGAGAAGGATGATTTTCTGCAAAAGCATGCGTAAACTAATTTTAAATCTCAGCATTTTGGTGCACATTCACTGCAGCAATGACTGTGGTTGCAGATGATATGTAAGCCTTAAAAATTACCACTTCACACCAAGGACTTATGAAAAAATCTCATAACAGCTGTCTGATCATACTGGAC